TTTGGAAAAGAACCTAATATATGAACTTGAGATTTGAACATTTTGGCGATATAGATAAATAGTGTAAATTTGGTAAAATACGCATCTGTCGACTACAACAGTTGTTCTCTCGGCATTTCTCTCTTTTTGAATGTCATATAACTTTCTTCTGTGCTGCTCCTACTTTTTCTCTGAGTGTCCATCAGCCACAGTTGATCACTTTTAAATTTACTTGAGTAAATTACTTTGATTTCTGGGGCTTATGAAAAATAAAGAAACTTCACACTATTTGTAAAAAAACACTAGCCTTCTCCGTCACAGTGGATTTTAGCAGAGCTTTTAGTACTGGATTTATGCGCTTGAATAAGGTAAGTATGGGATGCTACCTCTACTTAATGATTCCCTGGCCTCTAAAGTACCAAGTAGCCCTTATATCCGATCTTGCTTGCAGACTTCCAGAATATAATAATTGTTGGGTGTTGGCTCAAGCTCTAATAGGTTAAGCGTTTCGTAATGTGCTTGTTGTACCAGCATATTACATGGTGGGCCTCCATAATTGTGATAGTTCTGGAGAATCTGGAGATATGGAATTTCAAAAAATGACGCTATTTCTGTTAAATGTATCAATTTGATTCATTTGTATGTTCAACTTATTATCTTGTTTAATTGGAATCATATTCAAATATGTTCAAGTTTAATTAGAGTCATACATGTCTTAATCATATAGACATTGTATCCTTGCAAGTTTATGTTTCGGCTGTATCCTGTGCAAATAAGCATATGGATTTCCTTCTGCCTAATGAAACTTTCACATTTCAGGAATTTAAGGGAAATGTTTAAATTAGATGCTGCCGAGTACATGATGTCCATTTGTGGCGATGATGGTTTAAGAGAGCTTTCTTCTCCGGGGAAAAGTGGCAGTATCTTCTATCTTTCTCATGATGACAGATTTGTGATCAAAACTTTAAGAAAAACAGAACTGAAGGTTTGAACGCATGAAAACTTCTATGCTACACGCACAGACACACGATAACTTCTTTGTACTCAAAATGCCTGGCACACCAAACCATTTACTTATCTTATTAAATAAACTAAGTAGTTGGCTAATTCTTATTCACGCGCTCCATCTTTCTTTCGAAGGTAGTTTCTTAATTTCTTAGTTAATTTATGTTTACCAAATTTATAGGGCTCATGTTATAGAATCCCAGCTGAGTGATGGTTTTATCAGTGTTGCATTCATATGATATTTAATTACCCTTTATACTCCTTTTGCTTCTTACTTGAACAGAACGATCAATCAACTCCGAATGAGGACTTAGATTTTGCTTTTCCCTGATTGTTTTATTATTAGCTTCATCTTCGGCAACTAGCTCATTTAGTCCAAGTTTGAGAAGGATGTTAAAATGAATTATGAATCATTTTCTTCTTCCCAATTCACATGCAGGTTCTGCTCAAGATGCTGCCTAGCTATTATTGCCATGTAGGAAAACATGAAAACACTCTCATCACAAAATTTTTTGGGCTCCATCGGATAACATTAAAAGGTGGAAAAAAGGTATCGAGCTACTTATCACTCTCCCAGATTGCGGTTCTGCATTGGATATCACCTTGGTTGGTGTGACTTATTTTAAATGCATTGTTTTTAGGTACGGTTTATGGTCATGGGGAATATGTTTTGCACTGAATTACGAATTCATCGCCGTTATGATTTGAAGGGTTCATCTATTGGAAGATGTACAGACAAAAATAAAATTAGAGAGAATACCACATTGAAAGATCTGGATCTGTCATTTGAATTTCATATGGACAAACTGTTGCGAGAATCCCTTTTCAAGTAAGTCCTGAGTTTTTATTGGTAGTGAGTTTTTGAAGGTATTTGTGATTACCTGTGAAATGTGCTTTTCATTGTTTAAGCATCCTTATGGACTAACTTTTTCTTTTTTTTGTTACAATCTTTCAGGAATAACTTCATTGTTCGTAAGATTAATAAACATTTGCAATATAACATACTGGGTCCGAGATCTAATCGTTAAAAACCACTTGCAAGAGAACCTAACACACTCTAATTCTCCAAAATCTCCTGAGATATCTGATCTTAAATCTAGCTAAAGTTTTGCTATGGATACTTAAGACATTTTGGGGGGCTGGTGAGGGTTCCTCTATGTGGTACGCTAAGATATTTGTCCTGCATTAGTTTCTCCTTCCAGTCCTCTGCATCTGGTCTTTGGATTCTGACCTGTAAAAAAGCTTGCCTTGAGGAAGAGCCAAGCCGGTTGAAGAGATATTTCAACCTCACCCCTAAAATTGTATCATGCTTCTTTCCCTTGTTGATTTGTAAGATAACAATGCCTGATATCTTCTGTGGTTGATTAGTTTATTTGATTTCGATGTTGTATAGTGGGAGGGGTTCTTGGTCACTAGTTTGACTGAAGATGGGAAACGTAAAAAATGTTCCGAATGCTTTTGGTCAATTTAATAAGCTTCAAGTCGATTTTAGATTTCCGATCAAAATGGATTTGAGATAAGAATTCACTTTTTTTCTTTCTTTCTGTTTCTGCAATACACGTCGTTGTTTTCCTTATCGATTATGCATGAGTCCCAAAAAGATAATGTTAATAAGAATTGGTTGAGTAAGCCCTTACACATTTTAACGTCTTTAGGAATCTTTCCTCCTCCTTGTTTTGCAGGCAAATATCACTAGACTGCATGTTTCTACAATCTCAGCAGATTATCGATTATAGCCTTCTGTTGGGCCTACATTTTAGAGCTCCCGAGAATCTGAAGGGATTTTCGCAACCTCCTGCTGCAATGCACAACGATGAGAGTTTACCTACTAATGATGGTAGGCATCTCTTTCTGATTAAAAATACTTTTAAAGTGAACTTGTAACTGTTTTACGTATGTTCTGATATCTTTTCTATTTGGTGATGTGAATAATTTTCTTATTAATGATTTCTTCCGTACAGTAAAATCATGATGAAAATGACATAGAATGGAACAATATTGTCTTTCCTTCTTGCCATGATTCTAAGACCGACGATTTCCTATATCTCGCACTTTTAAGTACTGAATATCTCAACTTATATTCAAATTTGAATAGGTGTGACTTCCCAAGGGGAGCTTTTGATTCCTCCTAAAGGTCTTCTGCTGGTAACCCATGAGCCTGGCTCTGTCAGTACCGCACCAGGTCCTCACATCAGAGGAAGTACATTGAAAGCTTATTCTCTCGGTGACAAAGAAGTTGATCTTCTAGTCCCCGGTACAGGAAGGTACTTCATACTTTTGCACTTTGATATATTTTGAAGTTTGACGCCATAAGCATTTGCATCTTCTGTTACCTTCTAATCAACTTTCATCTGATTTGGATAGTTATGCTGATGTGAGTAACTTAGGGCTCATTTGGAAGTGTTTTTAAAATGACTGAAAGCACTTATAGAGAAAATGTTTTTGGGTTCCAAAAGGATTCACTTGCATTTTTGCTAAGACTGGTACCAAAAGCACTTTCAGCCAGTTTAAAAGCACTTCCAAACGAGCCCTTAGTAGCACATCTGCCCTGCAACGCTAGTTAGACTGCCGAAAACATAGAAATTCATAGCTTGAAAACTGTTGTTGGATTCAGCACTTCATTTATTTTCTGCTGAGTCTTACCAATTTATTGTTTGAGCACCACATCGTTACTGTCATTTGATTTTTTTGCTCAGGTTAAGAGTGCAATTAGGTGTAAACATGCCAGCCCAGGCCTATCATAAGCTTACACAGGACGAGGTCGATTCAACAGAAGTAGAACTTTTTGAATTTTACGACGTGGTTCTTTATATGGGGATAATCGATATACTGCAGGAATACAACACGAAGAAGAAATTTGAGCATGCTTACAAATCATTGCAGTTTGATCCTCAATGCATTTCTGCTGTGGAACCGAAGCTGTACGCTAAGCGTTTCATCAATTTCTTGGAGAAGGTTTTTCCGGACCTGCCATAACGTTTTCTTACCTTCTTTCGTGTTCATACTCATTTCTCCGAGCAACACGCGATTCTTGTGTAATCATTTGTAAAGTGTTGTGATCTAAGATTTCAATGTATGATATCTAGTTGTTTTAAGAATAAAAGTATACATCCGTTGTTGGCACAAGGTGGATAATGAGGCCAGAACCCAATTACTGAATGCTGATTAGCATTTTAATCTGGTTCACTTTGTGGAGATATTTTTAACGTGCCCAGAACACGAGACTTTACGTCATACATAATTATACAATTGAAGGAATGGAATTTTATTTTTCTTTTCCGAGTGTTCCTCTACTTGTACTGGTGATCCGGACGCATTGAAAAATCGCTCCATTTTGTAAATGTTCCACCAAATTCAACTCTCAGATATTAATTTTTTTTTTTTTTTTTTTTTTTTTTAGTTGTGGTATTAATTACTTGGGAGCAGCCTCTCCATAAATGGGGGTAAGGCTAGCCGACATTCACCTCTCCCAGACCCTGCGTAAAGCGGGAGCCTTGTGCACTGGGTACGACCTTTTAGTTGTGGTATTAATTACTTAGCAATGGGGAGAAATGGGAGGAATATATAAACATTAGTGACAACAACTCACTAATCAGGTTGATAAATAACACACAAAGATTCCTCCATTTATGGATAAAATATTTCGACTAATTTGGTTTCAAATTGCTGGATTCCTCAATACTTGGTCAATCTAGCAGCTTTTTTGTTATTAAAAAGAAAGGATGGTAAACTTTATTGATTTCACAGATCAATATAAATTATAACTTAGATCATGGAGAAGGACATCCCCTACTAAATAAGGGATTGGTAAGCTTACCTGCTACAATCAACATCTTTTGGAGACAAACTACGTTATGACACGTGGTGTTCCGAGCAGTAACGTACTCCTCGCTTAGAAGTGAGAGGGGAAGTGGTCAAATGTTTAAAAACCACAGACGAACATAGGGGAATGCATTTCGCCGAAACCATGAGAGGGAGATTGAAACCGCTCGTGTTCGAAAACAAAAACCCCACAATAAACAACATTGCAACTGGTTGCAGCTACTTTTTGACAATTGGGGAATTGATAACATTGTAACACCAAAAACTGTTTTGACCAAAAATATTTTTAGATTACAAGTACAGGCGCAGCAATCAAGTCCAGGGACGGCCATAGTCAAAAGGAACCAAGCGGAGTTCCATAAAAAAAATAAACTATTTGGACCCGAATGCAAATGACAATTTTGGCCGGGATTTGTTCTTACCCAACAGTTTCATTTGATTCAACCGTGCTTCCTCCTCCTCTTGTTTCTTCCTTCGCAACGCCTCTTCTTTCTGTCTCTGGAGCTCTTCCAGTTCCCTGTATCGCTCCTCCTCCCTCCGCTGCTGCTCCAAAGCCTCCCTTCTTTGAGCTTCTTCCACTCTCCTCCGGTTCTCTTCAAGCATCCCTTCTAGCTCTTCTTTCTCTTTTCGAGCTTGTTCCTGTAGGACACACAAACACACATAACTTACTTTGATTTGTTCCAATAATATAGAGGTAGGAAAAGCAGGTGCAGACTAAAATAACATCCCATCTGGAATTGTGATTGTTTAAAATAATTACAAAGCCGAGTAATGCAATGTCTAGGTCTTGGATGCTCCCTGCCCCAATGTCTAGGTCTTCCAGCACCATCACCCTTTGCAGATGAAAAATACATACTTACGGTAATGATTTTCCATTATCTTAAAAACACCTATCCTGTGTACTTATACCACATCTGCTATTTTACTCTTTTTTTTGCGTAAGCTCTGAACCATGTCACTTTCCCGAACAGAACAATTGTTCATAAAAGTAATAACTCAAAAGACGAACGGTAACAATAACAAAAAATATTTTCAAGAACACAGAAGATGCGCATCCAACAACACCAAATGGTGAAAACACATCATGACCGATACATGTGCCTCTGCAACAAGAGAAAGTGAGAATGCCAGAGGCAACATGGTAGCCTAAATATTACCTCCTTCCTAGCCTCAACCAGAGCTGCTTCCTTTTCTTTCTCAAGTTGCGCTGCCACTTCAGTAAGAAGCTTCTTCCGTCCTTCCTCCAACTGCCTCTGTATTTCCACTTTAATCTCATCGGAGTTTAAGCTCTCCTCAACTTTCCTACGAATTGCTTCTTCCACCCTCCTTGAAGTCTCTTCTTCTAGCAGTTTCAATTCTGCTTCTTGTTGCCGCCTGAGAGTACAAGCAAAAATGTTAAGCAATAAAGTGGTCTCTCATATCAAGAGGGGAACTGCCGCCTGAGTACAAATAAAATTCCAATTCACATATACTGCTTCCCTTTTTTTACCCCTCCCCTTCTCTCTCGTCATTATCTGACTGAATAAATGGCAAACTAACCTTCATGAGGACAAAGGCACTATAGATACGCTTATGCTTTTAAGGCATACCTCTAACGTATCCTGATCCAAACAAATGAGTTTCAAAACTGGTGAACAGTAGACAAACGATGCACCCATTTTGATCATCAAATATAACAAGTTGAACTAAAGCAGTATCATCCTTCAGAAAAGCCTTTGGAGGAGAATGTCAAGTATACCTGCTGCATTTTTAAAACTAATTATCGTGTTACTTCAAATTTAAACTAAATGCATTCTTGACATGATATGACTACAGTTCTATATATATGGCCTAAGCAGTGTGTCTTGAGTGTGATAAACACTAAATGACGAGACATTGAAAAACATTCACATGTCAGAAACGGCAGTTCAACACTGATGGAGACATACGGTTGCCACGTGGCAGAATGGAGTACAATCAGAAGCCAACAAAGTCCAAATCTTAAGGAACAAGTTTACTAAGGCCTCGTTTGATAGAGAGGATTAGCGTGGATAGGACTAGACACTATATTGCAGGCATTTTGAAGGGAGAAATGGATGACAACTTCCCTATTTTGTCCAAGTTGAAGATAACTCATGAAGAAAAGTGTCCCTTACAATCCTACCATTTTTGTGGGGACTGGTAGGGATAGAAACCTTCAACTTGGACAATATATGAAAGTTCTCATCCATTTTTTCCTTCAAAATGCCTTCAATGTAGTGAATAGTCCTATCCAAGTTAGTCCTCCTTAACGAGGCCTAAATGATTTGGTAAACAAAAGTTAACCAGGACTTTTCAGTCTACCCAACTGTTGCATGGCTCAGCTTCTTAGGTTAGGCACAACAGGTACTTCTAAAGAATCTCCAAACACTTAGGTCTACCATATGGTTGGTCTCGTACACCAAATGGACAGACTAGATATCTCCGAATACTCCAATAATGAACTTATGCAGGAAGATGATCGTGTCCTGTAGAAGCATATGTCTGAACGAGTAACGGAAAGTAAATCAGCTGTGACCAATAATTTGTGGATGTGAGGAGAGCCACTGATTTATGAATGTGAAGAAAAGTATCATGTGTTGACAGGACACTGTGCTTTAAAATTTAAGTTAGAGTGCATTTATTCTTGATAAACCACTAAATTCTGTACAGATCTTATTGACTAGTTTTCACATAACCAGACCTCCTCAGCCCCATTGTACTCAACCCACCCCCGATGATCCTTAAAAGGTGCTTGACTGCATTACTTACCGTCATAAGAAGATTAACAATACTTAGAATCAGAATAGATGTATCTGGGATCAGCTGCGTACAATCTGGAGTCTAACTAAATTTCGTATTATTGACTTCTGAAATAAACAAATAATTAGTGCATCTCAATTATGAATAAGTAAACAGCAGCCATCCTTAATTTAATTGTCAGAGAAAGTACCATATAAAACTGAAATGTTAACAAACAAGCATGTGCCACAAAGTTAGGCTAGGCTAATTCAAACATCAACAGGAGGTTCTTTCCCTAAAACTAATTACGCTACGGTTTTAATGAACAAAACACAACAGTAAGCATCCAAAAATACTACATTAACTTTCAGGAGAGCTACTATTCATGTAGAAATCACTACTCTTAAATTTGAGGGTAGCAATGAAAACAATCCCACATTACATCTTAGCGCAAAACTCAGGCAAAGAGTTAAAACTGTCAGTCTACTCTAAAAGATGAGCTTAGAAAAAGGTTAAAAAGAAAAATTATATCATAAAACAATTGATGTTCCATAATTGTTATACCTTTTCTTCTCTTCTTCTTCTTCCTTTCTCAATTTCTCAGTAGCATTTTTCTGGTCCAACAATCCAAGACTTGAACTAGAAGATTTACGAATAGGAGACAAGGAGGAGCTCCTACTTCTTTGCCTCTTATAACGCCTCAATACTGGAGAACGACTTTTACGACTTTTACGACTTTACGACGAGAACGACTTCGTCTTGGTCTTGGAGAACGACTTTTACGGACGAAACGACTTCTTCGACGCTTAGGGGTAATTGAACGACTTTTCCGTCTGTATAGTAAAAACATACCAATTAGCAACGACAATTAAAATTGCACATGACTACACATAATCAATAACTATCAAGTCAGTCCACCATGTAGCACAAAGTATATAGAAACATGTACGGTTACCTCATACATTGTTAAGTATAACCTTTGTGTGCTCCATCTTTTATCACATGAAGAAGCAAAGGTCACAATCGAGCAACAAAAGAACAGCCAACGACAACCATCACCTGCTCACTTCCCTTTTGACGGGAAGAATCTGAATTCTTTTAAATTCTTAGGAAGAGCATGCAACCTTATATCACTCTGGAAACTCCATATTTTAATCCATATCTTCTTACTAGACTCTTATCCAATTATTTAGAAAGATAAAAAAAAATTAAAAAAAATTAAAAAAAAAAATATTCCATAGGTCACATGTCCATCAATGTTATATCGAAACTAAGCCAATCATCAGATTTTATAACAACATCAGCAATTCTTTGGCATTGGCATGACAGCAACAAAGCCTAAGGTGTACAAACCACAACTGTAGTTGAAGATCGGAAAAGCAAACTCAGAACATCAAATGTCAAAGCATACCAAATTTAGGCAATGGAACTACCAATTCCTGTCCACTTGAAGGTTTGAAGCAAAAAAGTCAAATATTAGCAATTAGCATACAGAATTTCAACTCAAAGCGATATTTCATGAGAATGCCCCATTTAGCTGTGACACCAACATCAACATAGTAGGTACCAGGTAAACTTCAAAGCACATATTCATTTTCTATAAGAAAAAGATTTACAAGACTTCATGATTGGAAAATGTACCACCAGATCTAAAAAGAAGGATAAGAAGATGCGTACAGAAACTCGAACATTATGTAAATCCAAATCCCATGAGCGATATGTAACGCCTCAATCTTTCCAAAAATTGATTGAGAATCAGTTAAATTAGCACAAGAAAGGGGGAATATTAACGGGATCACCTGCTATGAGAATACGAAGAATATGGAGACCGGCTTCTGTCTCTGCGGCTTCTCCTGCTAGACCGATGCCCCACTGGAGATGGCGAACGCCTTCGCCTATAAGAAGGTGATCGTGATTGTGACCGTGCCAAGTCACGAGGCATCCTTCCGCCTCAACTTTAAGCCTATTAGAATATTTCTTAGAATGGAACTTGAACACTAACAACAATTTGTGCTACTGTGCCCTATAAAACCAAAATAAATCAATCATTAACGGTTCGTTTGCAGCCGGGAAACTGTCAAATGATCAATTAAGCAATACCAAAAACAACAACAATGATCCTTAACGGGTTCGTATTCAGCTGAGAAACTGTCACAAAAGACAATAAAATGAATATACAAAATTTGTCATGTAAACAATTAAGCAGAATATTGAAAATACAACAAATTAAAATAATAAAACACCAAAAAAAAAATCCAAATGAATAAGCATAAAATAAAACAACGGTGTCTGATTTGAGGCCTAATTAGGAACTGATTAATCAGCGAAGAACAATCTATATACAAATTCATATATAAAAATTGAGGATTTTACTGACAATTTAATCGCCGAGAAACTGCAAAGATAATCAAAATTTATCATCAATCGCGCAATAAGCATCCCAAAATTTAAAAAAATAAATAAAAAATAAAAAATATACCTGTGAAGCACAGAGCAGAGCAGATGGGGTACCTACGGCAAGAGAACAATCAGGGAGATCGGAAACCGCCCAACGCCGCCTTGACCAAAACCCTAATTCCTAACAGAGAGCAATTTGGTGCGACAGACAGACAGATATTATGATTAATTTAGGTATTTGATAAGAGTTTTGGGCTTCGGATGAAAATACGAAAGACGATGAGGGCCTTTTTCGTATTTTCATAAATGAAAAATAAAATAAAATAATAAAACATGACAAACCCAAAAGCACTGCGCACCAACACCTCCTAAATCCCCAACCCCGCCGCACCACTGACACCCCTAAAATTCCAACCCAGCCCCGCCGCAGCAACACCCAGGGTCCCACTCCGGTCGCCAACCATCGCAGCACCACCACCGCCCCAAACTACCCCACCTCCGCCACCCATCTAACCTTCCCTCTACACAGTCTCTCTCTCTCCCCCAAAGCTCGAAAGTTTTCAGTGATGGGGAAGCCAGGTTCACGGTAAGACCTTACCTCCATGGCGCACAACACAAGCCCTTCTCTCTCTCTCTCTCTCTCTCTCTCTCTCTCTCTCCTGAGCTTTTAATTTTTTGGTGGCAGATCAGAATCGTCGACCAAAGCAGACCGCAAGTTCGAAAAGAAGCTCGAATTTTATGCCAGTAAGTTTGGATTTTCGCCTCACTTTTACCTTAATTGTACTCTGTGTCTCTTGAAAATGAATCATATGAGTAATCCCGTTACTGGTTTTCATCTCCGATTAGTTTCTCACCGAAAAATTATTGCTTTTTGATGTATAGCTTTTCGGAAAATTAATTTTCTCAATGAACAATGCAGAGGTTAGAGATGCAGTTTCTTCCTTGGGTGCTCAGAAGGCTATTGTTAAGGTGAGGATCTCTAATTCATCAACTTTCCTTCTGTTTAACTCAATACCAATGACTTCACCGGCATTCTGTGTAGCGGGATTTGTTGTGTTACATAGTTTTTCTTGGTAGTTTAGGTATGTCATTGACGAGGCGATATTGGAGGAGGTCTGTAATGTCTCCTGGTATTTGATGTCTTGGAGTTTTTAGACTCCAGAGCCATCAATTTGGGGTGACAACATTTTGTGTTCATGTGTTTTCCGGTTGATTGTTTTGAGCTCATTTTTAGGTATTGATGGTTTGCTTGTCGTATTCTGAATCTGAGGCCATTTTTGATATGGAGGATTAGACTAGACTCGCTAAATGACTGGATTTTATGTGCAATCGAGGAAGACTATGAATGTTGTGTTCTAATTTGGAGGAGTAAATTGAAGTAATCATAAGAGGTTGATGCCTGAATCATATCCCTACTAATTCCACCATTTTCAAGGTGATTAATGGGGATAAGATAAGCTTTAGGCATCAACCTCTTAGGAATAGTCCATCTTAATCCTCTAAGTTAGATTACCACATCCATGTACTTCCTTGATTGCACATGAAAATCTAGTCATTTAGCTACTCTGGTGTAGTCCCCCGTATCAAACGTGGTCCTAGAAGTACATGTTTTGTTGTAGTGGAGCCGAAATTGTTATAGCAGGTTGATGACTACTCATGGTGTGGGCGTGGGTGTGGGTGTAGGGTCATTGAATGAAACTGAATAAGAAGCTACACCATGAATACAGACATAGGATTGTGTATTAAGCAAATGCCTCATGGAAGATCGGCACAAATTTTCAGGAGTTACTTTAGTAGTTTCTTACAGGTTTGAAGGGAGAGAGACAGTAATCATAGAGGCACATTTGTAGTCATGTATCAAAGACTGGGTTCTGGGAAGTTTAGAACTAACCCAATCTGTCAGATTGAGCTACCATAGGCCTCCCAACTCATGGAACCTGTGCGATTTACAGCCCTATTTGTAGTGGATGGAAAAAATATAGTTGTAACATTTTTGAATAATCAAGGATTTATGAGAGGGAGGGACCCTTCCGAGTTCTCTTTGGATAGAAGGGTGACCAACCATTTGGTGACAACACATGGCAAGTTGTGAGAGAGCATCCTTACACCGTCTATTGAAGCCCTAAGCTCTTCTGCAAAACTAGGTTGTTTCATAAGAATGGACAAGTCTTGTGCTTGGAGGAATGGAGGTCACTGATTAAGAGAAAGGGGAAGCATTGTTGTTTGGGATGAAAAACAATGGGAGGTTGGGGATAAAGTAGCAGATTCAACATTCAAAAAGAAACCAGAAGATAAATGAATTAGAAATGGGGTCTTCGATTTAGTTTTCTGGGATATTTAAAGCTAATTACGGACTGCAAAATGGGTCTAGACAAGGAATAATAGGATGTCAGTGTTGCCTTCTTTTAGCATACATTGCTCTACATGAAGTTGGGGTCGCTTAAGGAAGGAAAAATGCAAGATCAGAAAAAATTGTCACTGCGTTGAAGTTCTTGAAATTCTGGATTCATTTTTCTTCAAATATTCCCCCAGCCCAAACAAAATGCTATATCAAGCCTTCCACTTGACATTCTGTTCATTGCAATAACAATATTTTTTGGATTTTTTATTAATTCTGTTACTGATATTACTTGAACATTTGTCATTATGTTTTAGTGTTTTTTTACAGTCCGTTGTATGTTAATGACTTAACTTTATCTTCTACCAGAAGAAGAAACTACGTAGCCGACAGAAGAAACTGAAGGCATATGATCTCTCTTCTTTTTCAGAATTCCTTCCTGAGCTGAAAGAGAAGCAACCCACTGCTGCTTCAGAGTTCAAGATAAATTGTAAATCCAAGAAAAAGCTAGTGTAAGTCATCCAGTTCTTCGATTCTAAATCCGGTTGCAATCTTTACCTTTCATTTTCACATTGTCCTATGGAATTTCAGTAAAGTAATAGTGGATTTCATTTTCATCAGATTGAAGGAAGGAAAGCAGTTGACTACAGTTCTTAATCATCCCACTTTCAAGTCGAATCCCCTGGCTGCCATTCATCAACACTTACAGAGCACTCAGCCAGTCGAAGATGTCAAACCAGAGAAAAGGAAAAACAAAAGTGGAAGCAAGAAGAGGAAAGAAAAGAAATCTAAGGCATCAGCCGGACCCCAAGCTATGGATATGTGAGTCGATACACAGACCCTCATCTATCTACCTTGCTGAGTCGGTTTTGTTCATATATCATCATGAATGTTCCAATGCTCAAACTTTGAATTTGCAATTTTGTTAGTCTCACTGGAACTTGTAACAGATTATATTTCAACAAAACAATCTGAATGCTGTATGTCAGGAAATTTTGAGCTCAAAATAATGTTAATTGTGACCATGCATTTATCGGCATGTACTGTTTTACTCACGGACGAGTCAATAAAACTGTCTTTGGACGCGCCGGGAGAGATCTTCTTGTGACATAAGATATATTGTCAGGTTTCAAGGACCATCTTGAAATTGGTTAATGGGAATAGTGTGCTAAATTTTGCCTAGCTGTTTGTTTACCAGCCATTGAGATTATTGTATGTCTTGTGATTTTTCAAAAAAAGAAAAAAAGAAAGTGCTTCTTTTTCCCCAGCTGGCCAATTCAGGATTCAGGCTGATTATTTTAAACTGTGGGTGGTACTATCCACATAATCGAGATGATCACCGGATCTCGCAGTTTGGAGTTGACGTACAAAGAAATCGGACCACTCATTTAAATCTTACGGTCTCTATTAGCTTATTCTACCAGCTCACCTCACAAATTAAGGGTTCATATTTCTCTCTCTCTCTCTTAAACGGTCTGGATTCTTCGGTCTGTTGACACCGAACTGCGAGATCTAAATTCCTACCCATATTTTACGTTCAAATTAATTGAATGCTGAAATGAAAGCAATTGGTGAGGGCAAAAAAGAAATAAAGTAATTTAGGTTAACGGTACAATTTTTCTTCAGCCCTACTCAATTATTGATGTCCAAAGTAGTCAACAATGAACAACAATCCACCATCAACCGGCTACCCACTTTTGTTTCTTCTCTTTCTCCAAATAAGAATTAAAATAAGTGCCACAAATAAAACGATAACAATTTACATAAAACGAATTCACCGTAATTATAACATTCTGATTCAATAATGTCATGTCATTAGTAAGTACTTCGCATGACATAATACTATATTATCAAAACACCGCATAAACAGTGAACTCGTTTCATACAAATTATTCTCCGAACAAAAACTTCCATATTCGAAAGGTTGTTCCTTTATGCCATGATCTTTTTCTCACCGTCTGCTCAAGTTAGAATCAGCCTCCCCGTACATAATTACAGCAGTTTTAGATATCGTTTCGCAAAAGAAAAAAAATAATAATAGAGGAATTTATATGAGGTGGATCTGATTCATTCATCCAAAACAAAAACACAATTCCAGAAGGTAATTTATTCTCAAATGTATTTTGTTTTGTGGAAGATTAAGCAAATACAAAGGCAGTAATTATACTTAGAATCTAATTAATACATGATTAATCAAGAAGGGTGAACCTTCTTGGTAGAAATGCCCTTCCAAGCCGATTTCATGGAAGCAGTGGCGGAGTTGAGTGCAGCCTCAATGTACCTCTTGGAAGCAACAGTTGCTGCATTTTCCATCAACTTCCCCATCCTCCTAGCCCCTTCCGCCGTCGCAACCAGGCTGTCCATTTCCTCTTTCGACATGCGTTCCATCTCCTCCTCGAAGCGTCGGAACTCGTCCATGGCGCTCTCCATCACCGAGTCCATGTAGTCCTCGGCTTCCTGCATGGCAGTCTCGGCTTCTTCCACCTCCTGTTGCTGTTCGAGCTCGACCGCGGCCCACGATCTGTAGGCTTCGATCTCGAACAGCTTCATGAGGTCCTCGACCGTGGAGGGGTCGAAGGATTTGTCATGCAAGGCTTCGTTGGAGAGGAAGCTGAATTGAGCAATGAGATCTTCCATGTTGTTGGAAACTTGTTGTTGTGATTTGGTGTTGTGGGAGAAAGAATAGATCTAGCTTTAAGATTATGCTAAACCTAAAATGTGGGTAAAAAGTAGATGGGGTATGAAGGAACCTTCAACTTTATGTAATGGATTCATGGACTCATGGTGGGGATAGAATTTTGCCATATGGTCACGTGCATGATGAGACAAGCATGGCCAAAATAGTCCGTTGGAGGGACAAGAATTGTCTGCCCTCCCACTTTCGATGCCCTCCTTG